ATTCATACCCAGTGAATTCTACAAGGTGACGCTTCCCCTGAGCTCTCAGGTACAGACCAAAGTTTATATTCTCGTTTTGGAATTCCTTTATGCTCCCGTTCTGTCATAGTCGCTTCACCTTTTCCAAGTTGTGTCTCTTCAGTATTTCTCAGAGAGTCATCTTGAAGTTTCGGCAAGTCCCACCCATGCTCAAGTTCAAAACTTATAATGAGTGACTTAGCTACAGATTCCAGTTCACTGTTGTTCAAAAGAGAATCCAGCTTTTTGGGGACAGGGGCACCCGCTGAAGCAACAGGCGAAGTAGATGAATGGCAGAGAGCATTAAAATTCCCAGCTAAGATGCAAATCTTTTCAATAAAATATCTCAGTGGATTTTTGTTTCTGTATGATCCTGCAGGAAACAAATCCAGAAAGAACCAAGTCCATTATATATAGTAACTTTAAAAAATAGAAGCAGTTAACTAACCTATAGATGCTTTTAAAAAATGGACCTATCAACTTCTGGCTTATTCCCTGCCTTTTTCTTTAGGCATGGCTCAAAGACTCTGTTAAGAACTGCAGAAATATGGCTGTTTATCTTGTTATTAATTGGTTCATGTTGTGGCCCTATTCACGGCTTCCACTAATAGCATGAAACAGCAGGCTGGCAGGCAGGAAATAACTGCGGGCAACCCGGTCATGAGTACTACTGTCATCTTTGACTCCATTTTATTATAAAGGGAGAAGGGTACATCTTGTGGAGCAACTGAGTTATGGAAAGGTAAACATATGGGAGCCAGTATCATCTCATAGATGCCAATAAATGTTTGGCAAGCGTTAGTACCTACACATCTGTAAAAGTTGAGGAAAACCTTTGGTGAAGAGAGGAGTACAAGGAAAGAGATTGTCTGGCTGAGATTATATAATCATCCAACAGGGGAGACATTAAGCTCAACAGGATGAAAACTTGTAAATGGTGGGAGTGATGCAATTTACTTACAAATTTTGGCAAGGAAAGGACTCATAGGTAACACAGTTAGTTGGGCCAGGGCATGCGATGAATCACTTTTCTGGCTGGGATCATAACCAAAGTTACACAGAACACTGGAAGCATCTAAAGCATTATTTGGCACTCTATCATTTTGCTCCAGGTTTCTTGTTTACCTGGACTCGTATCTACAAAGTTACTTACCTGCAGTGCTGTAGTTGTCACAGCCTCCATAGCTACTAACGTGCTATGATGCACTACCAAAAACACACAATGAGGAGGGGCAGAGAGGACTACACGCATATTTCTACGGGTGTGGGAGCAAGCATAGAGGCCCAAACAATGCCACAGCCAGAGAAACCTTTTAAAAACACTTTACCTAATGTCTGCGTATTGTTATCACCTGAATCAACCAGGCTGAAGCCATCAAAAATTAATAGGCTTGCTTTTGCACTCAAGGTATAGATAGCAAAGTTTATTACATGTTTGGGCACACATCACACATGAATGGCATAGTAGAAGAAGAGAAGAGATTGGATTTATACCCCGCCCTTCACTACCCAAAGGTGTCTCAGAGCGGCTTACAAACTCCTTTCCCTTCCCCTCCCCACAACAGACACCCTGTGAGCAATGCTCCCTCTAAGCTGTGGAGTCTTGTGAGCAAAAATTCTACTTTGTGAGCTACTGGCATTAATGTTGTGAGCCAGCGATTTGGCTACTGCATAAATTAGTTTGCTCTGGAGCCATCCTTCCTGAGTTAAAAAAAAATGTGTGAGCCAGAGGCTAAAAAACTGTGAGCTAGCTCACACTAACTCAGCTTAGAGGGAACATTGCCTGTGAGGTAGGTGGGGCTGAGAGAGCTCTTGACAGAAACTGCTCTTTTTCAAGAACAGCTCTTATCAGAACTACGGCTTGCCCAAGGCCATCCAGCCAGGTGCAAGTGGAGGAGTGGGGAATCAAACCCGGTTCTCCCAGATTAGAGTCTGAGCACTTAACCACTACACCAAACTGGCATACACATGTTTAAGTGGTGGTGGTGGGGGGGTTTATTGCCCACAATACACACAGAATTTAGGATATGATCCTTTCCTAACTGTTTTTTCCACATACATTTGGGTAACAGGACCCGTTCATCACTCATGTACAAGCCACTCAGAATTGAGAAAGCAAGCTTGTATTTTAAATTAACCAAATAAGGTATCTATATCTATCTATGTTTGAATCAGCTGTTAAGTCCACAACCCACACTTGCATACTCATACAGTCCCAATAAGGAAAACTAACTGTGTGTGTACCAACTGAAACTTGTAGTTCTTGACCTGGGCTACAGCATTCCCCCATTCAAAAGAATGTAACTTCTTTAGTGTACAGATGATCCAGAAATTTCACAGAATGGAAGTCTTAAGCTCAACAGCACCTTCCCCTGGAGTACAGCACCTCCACTGCAGCATAAGAGATTTCAGTTTATGGGTCCTTTTAGGCACTGATAGATACTAATGCTCAGTGTTAAATATAATGCTTGGCTTCAAAAACTGCATACTTTTTAAAGCACCAGCTTGACAAGAATAGTTCAGCGCTGAAATGGATTGTGAACACTAAAGGGTTCCGAGACGGTAAGGAAGAAGTATCTAAAAACGTCTTATACTTGCTCTTGAGGTGAATTCTTGACTATTTATCAGTAGGGCACTAGTACCCTACGCCACTCTGTTAGCAAAATTTGAGGCCTGCCCTTCCTCCCCCTTTCCCAGAAGAAGGGCCACTTTTGCTGGAGCAAGATCACTGTGTGCTAAAGAAAAGTTTCCAATATTGCTGAGCTGTGTGGTAGAATATAGGCCAGTGGCATGTTAAGCTTCTGACCAAGCAAATCCACCAGCTGCTTTAGAAAGTTGATCTAAAATTGTGTGCAATCAGACCCCCATTTTTAGAAGTGCCAGGCAAAGATTAATGCCAGCATATTCCCTACAAGTATTCTAGAATGCACTGCTCCTGGGACTAAGAAGGGACTATAATTGAATGTCTTCCCAAGTTATGGATGGAAGGATATAGAAACCTTGAAAGACGAAGTGGGGCTCAGTCAGATCAGTGCCTAGATGTGAGCCCTCTGGGGAGCTCCATGGATGCCACCTTCTGTTCCATTATGTGGGGGGGGGAGGCAGAATTTCAATGTAATTAACAAATCTGATCATCCCATCTTATGCAGAGAATTCTGCATCCTCAAACTGACAGTGGCAAACACCAACAGATGAGCTTTAAGTGGAATTTGTACAACTTATCACCAAAGTTCCCTCTAAGCTGAGTTCATGTGAGCTAGCTCGGAGTTTTTTAGCCTCCAGCTCACACGTTTTTGTCTTAGCTCAGGAAGAACGGCTCCAGGGCAAACTAATTTATGCAGCAGCCAAATCGCTCGCTCACAGCTTTAATGCCAGCAGCTCACAAAGTAGAATTTCTGCTCACAAGACTCCACAGCTTAGAGGGAACATTGCTTATCACATGACACCTGTTCAGAAAACATACGGTGACCATCTAAAATCAAGATCTTGCAAACAAAAACAGATGATGTATATTTCTGTACCGAATGTCATAAGACTCGCTCCCCCCACCCCCCGGATATTTTTTTCAAAATTGTCTCTTTGCCTTTTGGGTCAAGACTTTCCCCAGTGGCTGGTTTCCACAGTGCCTCCATAATGTGTAAAAGCCATGATCAAGTGTGCAACTCCTCCTTGTGCCAGCATCTTTCCTCCATTAGGGCCACTGTGCAGACAGTGCCTACATAACCTGGGCTATCCAAGCATTTGGCACTTCTCCAAGTCACCAATAAGATCCC